TAAAATAGTAAAAAGATGTCCCAATTTATATGTTTTAATAAATATTAATTAAAATGAAGTTTTACCATAGACAATTACATTAAACTAAGGCTCACTGATGGAGTATTTGGTGATCTTTTGAACTGGTGTTTGAAGTTTGGAAATTATGGTATAAAGGTCTGAATTCAAAGTCTAGTTTATTATATAATTAAATTGTCACAAACTATTAAAATACTAATGTTTCTTTGGATTGATCCTTAGTTTTAAGAATCCTATCTCCATTCAGAATCAGTTAGCTCCTTAAGAGATTGATCCTTATTATTATAAAATCAATAAAGATCTGCAACAACAAATATTACATTTATATTATATATAATTCAGGATTAATTATTATATATTAAACCAATATTTAATGGAAAATTTAAGCTGTTAATTACAGTTTTCTTAATGATATTTTGCACTAATTATCCTATTTATCAATTGACTTTATTATGTTATTGCATTATCGTCTCTTATCAAAAATGAGGAATATAAACAAGATTGTTTATTAAGGTCGCAAAAGTTGTAAAACACTATTCAAAAAATGTGCAGACGATAAAAAAGTTTAAAATTTTAATCTATTTATGAATTTATTTATAAAGTTCAACNAGAAAAGAAGAGAAAAAAGTATAGAAAGAGCAAATAAAACAAACGAAGAAAAAGAAGAAAAAGAAGGGGATAAAAATATTAATAAAAATAAAGAAGAACAGATAATAGAGAAGATATCAGAGGAAAGCAAAAAAGAATACAGTGATAAAAGAGATAATAATAACATAATAGAGGGAAAAAGAATGAGATTCGAAAGAAAAAAAGAAAATAAACAAACAACCTTAATCAGAGTCGAGAAAGACACCCTTGAGATACATGAAAACAAAGAAAACGAAAATAATGAAATGGAGGAATCAGATAAGAATGAGAATGAAGATGAGGATAAAGAAGTAATCAATGTTAGAGATAAGATCCTATCAATAAGCATAGATGCTAGCTTATCTCAGAATGAAATTATAGAGGAAGTAGGAAAGGTAATAGAAAAAGTAGAAAAGAAGAAACAGAGAAAAAGCAAGAGGGTGATGTCACAGACTAAACATTAACATTCGACAAGTATACTCTAAATATTAAATCTCTAAACATCTCCGGTTTCCGTAGTGAAAGTAAACAGATATATATACTAAACCTACTACTAACTGATAACACTGATGTGCTCATGTTGCAGGACACAAATATGATAGACTTCTATGACCTTAGGAAATTAAGAAGAATATATACGGGATATAATATCTATTTATCCTTTGCAACGAGAAGAAGTACTGGAACGATCACAATGATCAAAAAGAGGATAAAAGTGAATAATTTTCGTACTGATTCGAATGGAAAACTAATTGCTATAGACATAGAGATAGGCAAAAGATTGATTAGGATTATTAACTTGTATGCACCACCACAGCTAGCACAAAGAAAAGAAGTGTTTGAAGACCTACCCCAATATCTTACAGGAAGAAGAGAACTAATACTAGCTGGGGACTTTAACTGCGTGCTAAATCCCCTAGACAAAAATGAACAACTCAGTTCTGATAGCTCGAGACAAAGCCTAAAAAAGGTTCTCGACAATTTTGACCTAAGTGACACATACCTAATAATGTACCCTCGTCATAGAGACTACACGTGGGAAGGTAGAAACATTAAGGAACGCCTTGACAGAATATATTATAATAAATCTATAGGAAAAATCAACAATATATCAAGTATCAGTATCACCAACAACAATACTAAATTAACTGACCACAAAATGGTTAACTTATGCCTAAGCATCAAAATCAACACTGAAAGGGATAACAGTCATAAAATCACAAAGGAAATAATAAATGATATACATTTTAGCAAAAAGATCAAAACCCTACTTGATAACTGTAAATCTAACATAACCTGGGAAGAATGGAAAGAAAGAAAAATAGAAATAAATGAAATAAGCATGGAAACATGGAAAGCTATAAAGAAAAACAACTTCAACAGACTAAAAAAGCTTCAAAGAGAACTAAGCAGCAAAATTATTGAAGACAAGACAGAGGAAATAAATAACATAAAAGAAGAAATTAGCTCAGAATTAGAGAAAAGAATTAAAAACAGTTATATAAGCTATAAAATGAGCAGACTAGGAATTAACAGTAAAGCTGAAAAAATCATATTTAAAAGAAATAAAAAAGAATCTAACAAAAATGATATAGAAAGCATAACAGTTGATAACAAAACAATTGTCGAAAATAATGAAATTATTAAGGAATTCTTTAAATTCTACAGCAACCTATACAAACAACCAAAGACAAACCTCAGACAATGGAGCCAAATTACAGAAGTAATTAAACCAATAAAAAGCAAGGAAGATCATATTATAAACAAAATAATAACTAAAGATGAAATTAAAAATGCAATAGATGCCTTGCATATCAAAAAAACACCAGGTATTGACAACATCCCTGCCGAATTATATATTGCCTTTAGAGAAGACTTTACTGACCTGTTTTACACCCTATACAATACAAAGTCATTCATACAAGACTTTAGTATAGGAGTAATGAAACTAATTAATAAAAAAGGAAACATGAAGGGAAGTGTTGGTGATTACAGACCTATTACTCTATTGAACATTGACTACAAGATATACAGCATAATAATTGCAAACAGAATCAACAACCTTATAAGTAAACACATAGGATGCACACAGAGTGCCGGTGTGAAGGAAAGATCCATACAAAATAACACAATGCTACTGAACCTATTACAACAGTTATACATCAAAAGAAAATCCTCCTTGTCTATTTTATCCATGGATGTGGAAAAGGCATTCGACACAGTGAATAGATCTATCCTGTGGAAGATATTAGAACTATATGGCCTGAATGAGGAGGAGATAGAGTTTATAAAGAAGATGTATCAAACCCCTAGAACAAAAATAAAGATCAACAATGCTGAATCCGAATACATTGAATGTAATGCGGGGGTCAGACAAGGCTGTCCCTCATCAATGATACTATTCACCGTATACATTGAAGGGTTGCTAAAAACAATCATGGAAGATAAATTTATCACACCTATTTATATCCCTGGGATGGTGAAAAATGTGAAATATATTGCTCACGCAGACGATATAAACTTCATAATTACAGATAATGTTGCCCTCAACAAAACAATTCAAAGAATCAATACTTTTAGCGAAATCACAGGTATGAAAATTAACAATTCAAAAAGCAAATTACTCAACATATATGGGAAAATGAAATGTGACAACCTCAATGTAGAAACGGTACAAAAAATTAAAATCCTAGGTGTGTGGTATGGGGAGAACAGCAGCAGCCAAAACTTCAACAACATGCATAGCAAGATACAGAAAACCATCCAAAAATGGAGTTCAACCTGGCTATACCTGCCGGAAAGAGTTATTGTAGCAAATAAATGTTTAACTGCCAAAATAATGTATCATTTGTATATCACTGAACTAACGAAGAACGAGGCAAGAAAATTAGAAAGGATGATCTTTAACTATGTCTGGAACAGCAAATTTGAACCCTTGGGTAGAAATATAATGAAAAATAAAAGAGAAAACGGGGGATGGGAAATATGGGACATCAAAGACCTCAAACAATCACTGCAAATAGCCAACCTATGCAACTCTCTAAAAGATGATATACATCCGCTATCTGACATAGCCCACTATCTAATTGGGCCTACTGCCAAACATCTATCTGGTCATAAGGGATGCAGGCCCTTCTCAATCGAAAATAATAATACTCACAAACTCTGGAGAGACACAATCACAGACTTGATAAACAACGATCTCACCAGCAATAATATCAAGCCCTCGTTAGTATACCAAATTATTCACAAGCAAGCACTCAACATAAATATGACAAATAGCAACCTGAAGTGGAAAGAGATCTGGACCAACGTTGAAAAGATACCTGCCGAATGGAGGGAGACGACATGGAGGATCTTAAATAACATCATCATGTCTAAAGTGTTCCTCCACACATATCATTCGTATCGTCAATTTAGTAGCAAACAATGCCTACGGTGTAATGAAGATGAAGACACACACCATATATTTCTAGGATGTGTTATAGCAAAATCCGTTTGGGCCTGGGTCCAAGTAATCTTCGGCACAGTGATTGAGTGGACTACCATCTGGTATCATCTCGACTTCCCTACCATTAATCAAAATAAGTATATGCTCAATTGGTTTACTGCCCTTACAAAAAGGATCATCTGGAAGGGAAGATGTGCATCAATCTTCGACAATAGGAGATGGAACAAAACTTTAATAGTAAATAAGATAAGAGAAGAAGCAAGTAGGAAAATTCAATTCGATCTAGACAACCTCACAAAAAGAGACTTTGATAAGTTATACCAAGGCACGAGAGATGTAATATGGAAGTACAACAATAACAAGATCATGTTAAATGATCAGTGGTTGTAGTGTAGCTGTTTAACGGACTGTAACAGTCTTCTAAACACGTACTGTATAGGTTAATCTCAGCATGTAGATATGATGACAATGTACCGCGGTCCAACCATGAATAAAATGCAGCCAATAGAAGTCATGGGCACTGGTAATAAAGCTTACTAACCCCTACTGTACATCAATGTAAGCATTATATAATTAATGCAACAGTTTCACAATGTATCATTTACCTGTTTGTACGAACACTCCTTATGAGTTAGAAGCACAATGTAAGATAATTATGTCCCTGTACGCTCTAAAGTTCCATAATACCTCCCATGTATATATTGTATTTAATTCCTATATTGGTATTATGGACATTGGTTTTACAGAAATTTGTATGTAAGTGTAACTAAGTACAGTAGAACCTCGAATACTCGGCTCTCGATAACCCGGCACTCCGGATAACTCGGCCACACCCTGGCAGGGCAAAAAATCCTTAGTTAATTAATTTTCATTATAGACAGCTTTATAAAAGTATAAAAAGCTNTCATCTGATGAGGCCGCACCACGCTCCGTACAGATGAACGGAAATTGTTTTTTTTTTTTATTTTTTAAATAGTAAACCGAACCAAAGAACAACTTTAAGTATTTACGGTACTAAAAATCTTAAGGAGAAGTCGCGTCGACCTCTTCTTGATAGAGACTGGCGAGATAATTTGCAGAATTAGCTAACTCGTGTAGGATAGAATGGAGACCCTGCATATGATGCCGAAAAGCACTGGAGAGTTTGAAAGTCTGCTCGGCGGAACTTTCGGTCATCAGACTATCCATGTCACTGTCCGTTTCCTGGTCGGAATAGGAGCCGGTGCTTCCCAGGCTCCCGTCGGAGGGCTGTCTGATGTGTCTGGAACCCGAGGCGGCCGGTATCCGCTGTTGCTGCTGTTGTTTCGGCAACTCCGGAGAGACCGGTCCCCACAGCAGCTCGTTCTTGACGTCTTTCAACATGTTATAAAAACTGAACAGATCGGGATTGTTGATGCTCGACGGTAACGGTTTTGTGATGTCCATATCTCTTAAGCGGGATGGTACTAGAACGGTAGCATCCATGTTGTTAACTGCTACTACAAAACGATCCATGGCACTTAAGACTGATTGCTGAGAGCAGGCAAATGATTCCTCTGAGTGCTTACTGGGTCTTCTCGATCTATCGTTATTATCCAGCACTCCACATACCTCTTGTATAGTCAATCTAGATCCACTAGGACCAGCGTACGATAGGCGCCTGGACGGTTGCTGCGTTGGTAAACTTAAACCAGCGTAAGATACACGTCTCGAACGTTCAGCCATAATTCCTAATTGATACAAGAGAGAAGGCTTCTCTAACATGTAACTTTTGATTCAAACTGACCGGAAGTACATCACACGAGGGAGAACAGTTCACTTTCACGAGGCGGGTGACGTCGTCTCTCGTGCTTAAAAAGTAATGATCTCCGTACTAAATACTTATTAGAACGATCCGAACGATATTCTAAAATTCTTATACGTATTATTTCGAATCCACGCGATATTAATTACGTACAAATCATCTATTAAATGAGGGAAAGTTCTTACGTGCCGGTATAATAGATTCGATCCACTTCCGCCGTCTGATGATCAGGTGAGGAGAATCGATTCTGATTGGCTGACGACGAAACGCGTGGATCCTCCCGCTTGACGTAAATGTAACGTCGTATAAGGTGGGCCGATGTTATGTAAAGAACGTGTATAAATATGTCCTTGATTTAACTTTTTTTAAAATATATCTCGCCGATAATAAAATATTAATAAATTACTCAAAAGTGAAAGATCGATTTAATTAAAAATTTCTAAAAATTAATTTCCATTTTTTAATTATATAATTAATTTTTAAAAATTCGTTTAAATAAATATAAATTATTTTAAATTATGAATTAATATATAGGACCTTTGTCCTTTCTTCAGACGAGTTAAAAGGTGTTCTTAAGAATTTAGAATATTTTTCATACACTAATTTTTATAGTTACATTACAGCGCCATCAAGTGGCTCTCCCGAAAAGTCGCATCTCCATAAAAAAAAAAAAAAGTAATGTATTGAATCACACCCGTTACATTCGAATCCTCGTGAAATCTTCGAAAGGCGCGACTCTAGATTCAAAAATTTATGCGTTACCAAAATGCCGGCCAAGGCGATCATCAGCTTTGGGGATCCGGGTGATTAACCCCCAGAATTTATGAACAATTTGTCGCCGATACGTAGAGCTCGCTCCCATTGTGGGTTCGGCCAGACCCACAATGGGCTTAATAAATAGCCCTCTTAATGCGCGCAGGTAGAAAGAACGAGAAATAAAAATAATGGGAGAAAAAACAATTTATTTTTAGATAAAATGGAGGATTAAAAAAATGTCTACGTTAGATGTTCCGCGCAGTTAATTTTCGTTATAATAACGTCATAATTAATCGTGCAATCTAATTAATGACGGTTGATCTTATGATTTATGCGACGAAGTAACTTTCCTTTTGTATATATTAATAATAAATTAACAACCGATTATTCAAGTTCTTTATAACTGAATTGCATCATATACACTTAATTTATTTGCAACACTTGCAATTGCATAATTCACGCGATGTCAAGTTTAATTTGCTAATAATTAAGAGAAAAACAACACTGGTATTTAAAACGAATGCAATCTTATACCTTAACGCATCCATTCTTTTTTGCAAGGAAATCGAAAACATGATATATAGAGACACTTCAACTGCACTTCTACGGATGAAGTCATTTAAAAAGCGAGAATTTTTCATAGTCTAAAAGATTTTTAGAGCTAATTTTTTTTTTTAATTAAATAGTTACTATAAGGCTACATTTAATAGAAACTAAAGAGAGAGAGGGGTGAAGCTATAAAATTTGAAAAACCAGTTTTCCATTCACCGGCGTGTTACCGGTCGTAAAAACTCAAGTCACAATCGTGTATATTTAGCAGAAATTTTTTGCTTTATTTAGCTTAAAATCGGGTTTTCGACTCCACCGCAAGTTCTACAATTTCGAAATTAAAAAAGTAATTTTTAGTATCGAACAAAGTTTGAAAAAAAAAAAAAAAAAGCAACTTGAGTTTTGCACTTGGATCCGACAGTATCAAAAACAGAATCCTTGCAGATAACCTTTCTATTTTTATCTCTTGATAAAGATGAAAATAGAAGTAAACACACACAAAAATAGAATACTCTGTGTGTACGCAATCGGTAATTTCGAGATGCCCATTCTAAAAAAAAGGGCTCTCTTAATTTCTCCCCTCCCCCTCAAAAAAAAAATCTCCGCCGATTCAAAGTTAGTGCTGAAAATTTCTTTATATAGTTTTCTGTAAGGTACGATAACCTAAAAACACTGCCTATAGAGTAATTAGGCCAACGACTTTACTTTCAAGGATAGGAATTAGATTAACCTTGAACTCGCGTCGAAAACCTGAAAGTTAATAATAAAAAACGTGTCTTAAGGATAAGCGCGAAAACACGTTATGGAAAGTAAAATACGGCGAGAGGAAGTCGAGCTAAAATTGTCAACAAAACAGATTTTTTGGCCCTAGTTAAACTTGGCAAAAAGGTTATTCTAGAAAAAAAAAAGTTACTATTTAAAACTAAGAGGAAATTCAGCGATTAACGAGTGTTTACAGCGCGAACGAACAAACAAACAGACCGATCGGCGCGTTTATCTCCGTATAAAGTGGTCGGTAGGGTATCTTTGCGGGAGCGGATCTAAGGGAGGCCTTCAGGGCAAGGGCCTCCGCTGAGGGGGGCAAACCCAAAACATTAAAAAAACTCATTGATTTGTAATTATTTCCAAGCTTCTGGAAAGTCAAAGTCCCTGTTAGAAAAGTCCATTAACACAAATTTGTGTGTGTTAATGGGCACACAAAGCAATTTGTGTTGCACTAAAGGGCAGGTGTCAATGGGCACACAAAATAATTACCTTTTTAACATGCGAAAAGATACGTATCTTTGCACGTATTAAAAAAAGGTAATTATTATTCGAATTTTAAATTTGAATAAGCCCCCTTTGGTGTCTTCTGCAGTAACAGTTATGCGATTAACTGTATTGTGTTAGGTGTACCGATTTATTAAAAAACCCCACTGAAAATTTAAGAAAAATGGTTTTATTTGTAAACTGTACTATTTTAAAAACACGAATTATACAATAACAACAACACGTTTGCAAATTTGTAAAAGTTCGTTCCACGATAAAGAATTAATAAATAATTTGTATTAATCTGTTAATTAACCCTGCTTTAAATAGAACTTTTAAAAAAAACAAGATCAAAAAATAAACCTCAAAAACATGGCGGCCACCCGAATTTTGAGTACTCTTCTAATTTTTTTTTTTTTAGTCACGATTTTAAGAAACTATCTTCACACCGTACAATGTTTAAAAAAGTGTTTATAAATCATCGCATCTAGAAAATAAACGGTGTCTGTCTGTCTCTCTCTCTACAATAAAATTTCCATCTATCTAGATTCATTTTTCCCTAAAAAAAAACGAAGTGATTTTTAAATGTAGGGAATTTTACACTCGTGAGGAAGAGCTCCTCTGCGAGGATAGAAGACGTGATTGAGAGAGAAGTTGAGAAGATTGGTGACGTGAGACATGTAGACGTCGGAATATCTGAAGAGGCGACGTGAGAAGTAAGTTGGATTGTGATGAGTTCGGAAGATGCTTCCAAATTGGGGATTGAAATGAGATTTGGTTTTCATCCTGAAAAAAAAAAAATAAGATAAATTACCGAGAAATCAAATTTTACCAGTCGTAACCTTGAGACTGGTTATCACATTTAATAAATTTACCTGAAGAGGAAGCAGATTTTGAATTTCGTAAGTTAATTTTTAGCCACGTTTTGAATTTATGATAAAAATTAATCCAAACAAACACCGGGAATAGTTATTAAAACTTCACGAATTAGTTATAAAACTTATTCTAAAAATTAAATAAATAAATTTATAAACCTGAAAGTTAAGTGTTATTTTAAAATTCCCCCCCCCCAGACATTTATGGAGTGGGAACAGAAGGTTGCATTCTTTAAAGGTCTGAAGGTTTGAAGGAGGGGAGAGAAAACTGGTGATTAGTCAAAACTGCTGACAGTTTTATTTAATTTTTTTTTTTCAAGCAAAGTCAAAAGAGGTCAATTAAATCAGCAGTTTTTGCTGATTTAATCAATTGAACAGCAGTTGTTTAATAAAATAAACAAAAATTAATAATTATAAATTAATGTTTTTGTCTACATTTTTTAAGGTTTTATTGTAAACTAAAGTTTTTAAAACATCTGAACAACAATGAGAAGGAAAATTGTCTAAGAAAATAAAATAGTTTGAGAATATTTAGCATGTTTTGATAAAATTATTGAATTTTATATACAAGACATCTCGGGCACACGTTAAATCTTACCTGAGCTCGTCTCTTTCCTTAAGTAGATCTGCAATTATAGCTTCGCTGTCTTCATAATCCTAAAAGTTAAATTTACTTAGATTAGTTGAAGGAATTAGAGTTGGTAAAAAGGATAGGGTTTCTGATGTCATGTAAATTTTTAAAAATTATGGATTGATTTTCCTCCCCATAAGAACTTTAAATTAGTTGACAACTTTTGTTATGAATAATTAAGAAGTTTGAAAATTACATCTAGTCAATGTCATGTCAAATTTAGTTTTATGAAGAAAAAAAACTGCACAAATAAATTGTAATTAAAATCTGATTTTTAATTATTGAAAATACAAATGAAATAAAAACTTCAGGAATTGGAAGAAGTCGAGATAAAATGTCCTAATAGTATAGAACAGTGTTTCTTAAACTATGGATCAAGTTAAACTTTTAATGGGTTGTGAAATGATACCACCTTCTGCTATTTTCTTCTGCTTCTCCTTGTATTACTGAAATATTCTCTAAGAACTAAGAACAACAGAGTCATCATAAAGTAAAAAGTTTTCAGTACTTAACTTTATTACTAAATGACAATTAACAACTTAAGATTATAGAATGTGTGTATATGAAATTTTTTTTGTTCTATTTTCAATAATAACAAAATAGAAAATCATTATATGTAAGGTAAGCCCATTTAAGTTGCAATGATTTTGAAAATATTTCCTTGTTTATTCAAAATTTTTTGGTTGTTGTCATGTATAACAAATTATAAAAAATAAATAACAGATGAATTTTGGTTCAAGTGGATCAATGAATTAATTTGTGTATATGTTACTGTGAAAGACTGAAATTAGAGAATGTCGATATTCTCCGGTGAATGTCGACACATACAAAAAACGTCAGTGAAAGACCGAATATTTGGTTATATTATTATACATTCGAACAATTGCCGGTGTATGTTGACAAGCGCAGATAAGCTTTGGTGGAGGTCGAAATGACACTTGAGAAACCAATGTCAGAGAGGTGACAGTCTGTCACCAAATCCTTTGTGGGTAGCCGGAGGTAGGACTAGGTCGTACTTCTTTTCCCGGCAATGGTTTGGTAGAAACTGCTTACTTTGTCACTGGATAGTGTTTTTGTTCTTTTGATTCTGTGAGATGGGGATCGGTTTGTCAGGTCGAGTGGTGGAGGATGAGAGGGGTTGTTGGTAAGATGTCGGCGATATCCGAATAAAAGACACCATTAACAGATCAGTTTGTAATTTGTAAAGAAAAGTTACTTTCCATAGATGAGATTTCTTCTCAAGAAATATTGCTGAGAGAAGCAGTTGCAGCTAATTTGAAAAGTGGAGGACAAGGCTATACACACTGTCATTGCAAAAAGAAGTGCTCCACAAATAAATGCAGTTGTAAAAGCAAGGGACTCTTGTGCAATTCAAAGTGCCATAACAATTTAAGTTGTTGCAATAAATAAGATTTTATAACTTTAATCACATAATATATGTGTGAGTTTACTATTGCGTATTATTTTTCTTTTCTGATTAAGAATGTACTGTTCGTTTTAGGTTAAACAGTTTATTTACATGCACTGTTACTTAAACCTATATAAGTCCTATTTTGACATATTAAAAAGTTGCATTTTTGTCTTAACATAATAAAAATATTTTTATTCAACATTCACCATCAGTGCATGCTGAATGTCGACATTTGCCGGTGTAAGTGAGAAATAAGGATATTTAGCAAATATTTCGTACATACACGAAACGACTGTGTGAATGTTGACATTCGCCAGAGAATATTGACATTTGTCAGATAGATATCGGTCATTCACAGTAACATATACACAAACAAAATGAAATTGACAAAATCATCTTACAATCTGAAAACTACATTTTAAAAAATGGGCTCATTAAGTTTCAAAAATATTCAGAAGTAATATTTTTCAAACTGTTTTATTTACCAGTCTTACATTTATAATTGTTAAATTTCAAAAATGAAAATTGAAGTAAGTTATTTTTAACAGGTTGAAATTGGCCTGAATCAAATCACTCTTAATAAAATGTAACATTGAGTACATTTATACAAATAGAAGTTATCAATAATGCATAATTTTATTTGTTATATTGTATACAGTGACTCAGTTTACCAGTTTTTTTTTTTAAATTTCACATAACATACATTTAGGTTCTGCCTAAGACTATACTTTTATCTTTAAGTGCAAATGCAGGTTTGTCTGTAGGGGTTATCAAAAGAAAGATTCTACTATTGTTTACTACTAAAGATTGATGAGTTGGGCAATGACTTAAGTGGAACAAAGAATTAAGAATTCTTTGTGTTCAAATTAAGTCTTCCAGAACTAGAATCTAAGAATTCTTTTTATTTAGAATGTTACAACTGTTTACATATTTCTATTATGATGATATCTTTGTTGGAATTATCTGCTGGAAAAACTGAATAAGGCTTTATTTTTGGTCATTGTGTCTGCAATTTCAGAATTCCTTCTAAGACAATGAGTTGACCAGAATTCTACAGCTGGCTCTGTTATCAGGCAGTTCAGTTTGCCTGTAACTTAATACTGTATTTTAAAAAAGGCGTTTATCATATTTCCTATAAGGATCATCCATATTCTAATAAAAAAAACTACCCATGTAAAGAATACACCATGTATTGTGAAAGAATTGCATTGATTGACCCAAATATAGGTATATTAGTGGTAGTTGATTATTCGATAATAAAAATCATCAATATGATGTTTTCCAATATTGAAGCCAGAAAAGTGAGTACTGGCTGATAATGACAGTATATTACTGATATCAGAAACTGAATTGATATAGAAATTTATGGTATGAGTTTAAGCATGTTATTCAAATTTAACTATTCAGACTGGGTATATGTAAATAAGCACTACACAACCAACATCTAGCAAGAAAATACAAAACTACATGAAAGCAAAGTGCTTATATATATAATACCAACATTCTGAATTAACTAGTTTTGCATCTTTTGAAATGTGTTTTTCCTTACATTGTCATTTTATAGTCCAATAATTGTCCCCCTTTCAGAACAGTACACAGTAAACATATCTAACTCAAATATTTCTTTAACTTTAAGAAATGAAGCAGTTGGTAGGTCTCAATAGAATAGCATACAGATTTAACGTCTCCAACTTTAATTTCCTTTACTAAAATTTTCAACAAGTCAATTTTTCCACAGTGCCCTGACAATGATATGCACTATTTTCAACTTCCCTGACTAATTAATATTTATTCTATCCAAATGACTATCAGATTTCCAAGAAATTTTCAGACAGTTGTATCTAATGTCTGACACCCATTTGCAGACATTCTGTTTCCAGTCCAAAATGAGAGGACCTCTTGCTTTATCTCAACAAGGTTTACCTGCAAAACTGATTCCACTAGTTACATTGAACATTTTGCTGAAAGGAATTACAAAAAACTATCAATGATTCTTTACATATTGCAAGAGGGGTAAAAATACAAATCTGTTCAAAATTGGCATTTTTCATTATTGTCATCTAACTTGAATCGTCGTCTGTAACTCGGTTTTTCCTACCCCTTGGAGCTTTGAGTTAGATAAGCTTTACTGTATTTCTTGTAATTATTACAGGAAATATAGGTTTATTCCTGTTAGCAGTGGGCAATTATTACTGGAAATATCTATGTTTTTTAGTGAGAAATGTTCAAAATTCAGAATAAATTGAGTGAGAAATACATACAGAATAAAAAGTTTCTGTATACAAGGATAAGGAAAGTATTACAATAACCAGGTAGCTAAAAGAAAACAGCTCTGACAGCATCAGTTTCATTTATAATGATGATGATCGGAATCTTATTTGTCAAAGGCATGTCCATTTACACTACTTACAAGTTATCTTTGCTATTTAGTGTTTGTACCAAGTGTCTAAACAAAACTAAACAGAATTACAGCTGAATTGCATATAAATCACAGGTTTTTGCCAGATTAAAGATTTGTGGTCTTATAGAAAATTGCAGTGTTTTGTCTGCACAATAAATATGATTAATGGCTAGATATAAATTTCCTTATGACCTCGCTTTATCCCATTTATCTTCCTCACCGAAGCCCAGATGCTTCTTCTGACTTTGACTGTTTTTCTTGCCAAGTTTTTTTTCTTAGTTAACTAAAATTTCCCTATTCTGTTTATTTTCCCCATTTATATTTAGAAAGTTGTCTCATAAGTAATGCCAGATATTTGCAACCTGGGCAATAGTCTATATTGCTTGTGACTTGAGTCAGCCCTGAATATTGCACACCAAAATTTTTAAATTTTGGTCAGCATTGCACTACTTTTAATCTCTCAGATAATTAAAAAATTGCAAACAAGTAAAAGTAATTGTATTAATTATAAACATTTTACATAAATTTGTCAAATACTAAAAGAATGTAATAAAACATTGATTGCATTCAAATGGCAACCCAAAAAGTGCACATTTTACAAAAAATTACCTGCATTGTTTCTAGAAGATTTTGTAGAGTCAATAACCAACTCACAGTATGACGATAATCTTCACTATTCAGTATAGTTATTTCATTCTACAAATAACACCAAAAAAAAATTTTTTTTTTGTTTTTTAAATTCTACAAACTAAACAACTTTAAAAACTTACCTCTAGTTCATAAATAATGGCACCAGTTCGCCAACCATAGTTGAGAGTCAAATCTGCTAGATCACTATAAATTTGATCTCCGAAATAAAGAACTGAATTATCATACCAGCCAGTCAAGTCCTGGATTTGTTTCAATGTTCCCTAAGTTTTATATATATATATATATATAAAAATATTAAACTTATTTTCCTTTAAATTATTTTGCATTAGAGTAACTGAAAATTAGACATTAGAATATATTACAACTTCAAGATAAAGTAAGCCGATTTTGTGTATGGGGCTGTCCATAAATGACGTCCATGCTGAACTGGAGGGAGGGAGATTTATGATAAGTCTGATAAAGTCAGGGAAGAAGAGGGGGTTGAGCTTCAGTAAATGTCATTTATTTCATTAAATTTTATACAGTTTATACATTTTATTATATTTACTTCAAAATTTCCTGTATGTTTCTACTTAATCTATCATTCTTTATCATAAAGATAATAAAGGTTTTAAGGGGATTGAGTTTTGTTGGACATACAAAAGAGGGGAAGAGGTTTTGAAAACTTGGATAACAAAGGAAGGGGAGTAAAATTTTCAAGAAAAATTCAGATGTAATTTATGGACAACCACTATAGTAAGATACTGTTAATATTAATTGAAATAATCTATAGTTTTCAATTAATTATCTAAAAAAAAAAAAAAAACCAATTAGTTATTGTAAACTTAATCATTTTACACTTAAGAAAAGCAGCCTTTAGTTTGCTGATTTGAAGTAAATTTCAGATAAATTTTGAAAAAAATTTTTGATGTAAAGTCAGAAATGAATAAGCTTAAGACTACTATAAGCAATAAAAGTCTAAAATAACAGGTCACAGCCACAACAAAAGATGCATTCTTCAGATTAGAATTCTATAAGTCAAGAAAAATTTTAAATGGAAAAAATTTTTAGAAGCTTTACCATTAGACATATCAAATGGACAAAAAGTCATGTCAAATTTTGGTTGACAATATGTAGTAATAGGAAGAGTATTTCCACAAGTACCTCATCCTTAGAGATTCCATTAACTAGGAGGTAAAACATAAGATTAAGATCTCACTGTCAGTCAACATTAGCAATAACGTTAGTGTTTGCTTTTGATTTTCTATTGTAAAAATGGCTCACTTAGATTAATTTTAGTATTCAAACCAGCTAAATTTTGACTTTATTATTACAAGAAAATAACTAAGATATGCTATTATGAAAAAATCTTAATTGGAAGATGATTATAGAGTAAAAAATAAAAAAAAACTTAAGTTTAAGACTAAAATCTGCTTAAACTACAATTTGATCTATTAAATATTATGCACATTTTAAAATTTTTACCTCAATGTAAATCTTTCCTTTGTCTAACTTTGTAATCTTCTCCCAAAGTTGGCTTTTTGTTGTCTCATCATATATTCTTATTGGTCTTTCAAAGTAGAATTTGTACATACAGTAAATGACATATTAAGATTTTTAGAAGCTAGGAAAGTAACAAGATTACCTTCTTTGATCGGTGAAAAATTTTGGTTTACGAGCTTGGACAAGAACCAATTCAAACATCTCTCTCCAGTTAGGTCCAATCATATATTTCATACCACAGTCACTAAAAACATAATAGTATCATGTTTTAATAGTCACTATTTAGAATGTAAGTTTATTTTTTAAAGTTCCAAATTTATGATCTTTTTCTATGCCCAAATTTAAGTAAATATCTAAATGCAAGAGCATCAAAACTAATTTTGTTGTAAATTTGCCAAACTAAACTAATCTACAGACTTTTTAAACTAAATTCTTATTAACTAGATATCTAATTTTTGTTTATACAACAACCAATTAAAAAATGAAAATAAATTACTGTTATGAACTCAATCTCTCAGATCCAGATCTTATTTTGAAGGTTTAGTCTGGATCTTAATGTTATTCAGGTGTACTGATTAAATGAGAGAGAGTTAGTTAAAACTGACAGGTCAGCCATGATCCATTTATCTATAATCCATACCTTAGAGTGTAATGAAGATTGAGTACTGTAAGATTGGTAAATCACCAACTAAACTTTTGCCAGATTTCCATTCAACATGAATTTTAATTAAAAAAAATAAAAACCATTTTCTTCAGGTTCTCTCTTCACTTTAATGTTGAAAACATTTTACAACTTTCTTATTCTAGATAAATAAAAAAAAAAATGCTAATTTTAGATCTCACTATTTTCATTTGCATTTTAGTATAATTCATTGGAATATCGTTTCTTTAATTAATTACTCAAATGGTCTTGTTGAAAGTGAATTAGTATCAGCTTGAAACATTCAGAATAGCCTACGTCCTTAGTTTAGCAAAGAAGCAGTACACTAAAAGTGCTAAAAAAAACACTAGGAGAATCATTAGATAAGAATGTAAGATTTAAGTTTACATAGAGATTAGATATTTTAAAAAACTACAATTTTTGAGACTATTTACATGTAAACTAAAAATTATAAAACCTCAACTCCCCCCTCTTGAATTTTAATAAAACAAAATTTTGGCAACAGAAATAAAACATTTGCTGATAATCTTAGATTAAAGATTACATTAAAACAATATAATATTCTTTAATTTACTTTTTTAACTTAACATGAAGATGACTTAAAATTTTTTTTGTTTCAAACATAAATGTTTTACCTGTTAAGATACTTTTGGAAACAAACTAAAACAAATTACATTTTAAAAGTTTTAGTTTTAGTGTTCTTAGAGCACCATCAATAAAGCTATCAACATTACTTAAAAAAACCTGACAAAAACAGACATTTGGAAAAATGAAGATATTCTTGACATGTAATTGCTCCACAACATGACTCATTGTCCAAGTACTTTTGTGGTCTGAATTATGTATATTAGATCTGTTTTTCCCCAAATCAGCATTGCTTGAAAGTTTGTTCTACCTGCTAAACTTAGCTGAAGATTACTACCAATATATAATTTAGATAAAGTCAAAATAAAAAAAAAAACGTTTTGTATTTTGATTATGCTAGTTATACAAATAAATAACTACTTGGAAAGATATAGATGAAATTATAGCACCTTGCATTCTAAAAAAGTGATTCATATAAATCAAAAAGAATTACTGGAAAGTCACTAAATACATCACTATTGTTTAATAGACATTTGTAAAAAAAATTCTTAACTATTCCAGAATAAACATATCACTATTACTCATCTGAATAAATAAAAATCAACTTATTCAGCTTAAATTTTTTGTTTAAAAATTTCCTATTATTAAGAATTATAAAAAGTCTTTCCCTACATAAAATTAAGTAAATACAAAAATTTACTGAGTAGAAAAAAACAAGTATTCTTATGCCTTACGGCAAAAATGAACCCAAACATTTGTCCTCTCTTTCATCTTAATTTAAAATGTCTGCAAGAGTATTAAACAAACAAAACTTTAGACTTATTCATTAAAATTAGGGTCTAAATCTTAAAAACAAGCTACTTACACAAATTCGTATGGACTATTTGTTATTAAAAACATTTTCTTTCCTGCTTTTCTTAGTCTATTGAGTAGCCTGATTAATTCTGGTTGTTTCTCGAGGTATTTATCTAAGAAATTGAAAAATTTTAAAGATAATATTAAGAATTATATTAAATTCTGTTTTATCAAAAAGAATCTTAATTTAAGAAAAATCATTAAATAAAAATCTAAATGTAAAATACAAAAGAAAATTCCTAGAGAGACATCAATTATTCAGTTTACTAATAATATCAAAATTTTGCAAAACATTTTCATGTACATTTTGTCAACAGATTTAACTAATGTTGAGGCATACTGAAGGAAAGGCGAAAGATTATTTCAGTTGATTTGCATTAAAAGTCAAGCTCAAAGTCAGTAAGATATTTTAATGACAATTTCATCATCAAATTAAATATTAAAAAAATTTTTTTTAAAGTTGTTTTCTAACTGAACTTGAAAGCATGAAAATATGCATGTTAAATGTATATTTTTAAAGTGCAATCACAAATACAAACAGCTTTCTTAATATCCAAGATCACACTGTTTAGAAAACAAAAATAATCCAGTGTGCCACAGACATTCATTTGCCAACATGATTTTCCTAGTTATTCACTATTCAGTTTTTGAATGTTCAATACATGCTTTAATTTACATTCTTAAAGCATTCCTTCTAAAATTGGAAAATTGAAAAATACATTTCTAGTAATTATCCCATAAGTACAGTACATAACTTCTTTGATATCTTAACCAGAGAACTTTAATGGTTAAGATACATGCAATAATTATGATCCTAATAAACTACAAACTCATTGCTATAGAATGAACTTTGATGATAAAATAATTCTACACATTTAAAATAATAGCCCTAACACAACTGAGTGGTGTTTATAAACAAAACATTGCCAATACAAAATGATAAAATAAACAGATATGTTAGAATTGAATAGTGGTTAAATTTTAATATTTTCCATGCAATGTGTCAAGATTGTCTTAAAGTGACTGCCATGCATATGAAATGTTTCCTTCCTTACTAATTGATACATCATCCATTTAATCTGGCCTTATATATTTTAAATGTTGTAATGATCATAAAATTCTAATTCTGGAATGCATGCAAGTTTTATATAACTGAAGCAGATCTACCATTACATGAAAAACATTTATCAAAGTTGAATTAAAGCTTGCTGTTTTTTAAAATCAAGGTTAATACAGTAGTTTTGTGTGTTAAGAAAAGTCATTTGAGTAATTTTAATTGCAGGGTCTATGGTGAGGCAGGTTATACAAAAGATTTCTTTCCATTCTAAATGACTTTCTGCAGGGAATATAACTAGTGGGAATTATAAAATATTGATTATCAGCAAAAAAGTATAATAATTTATTTTCTTTAAGTCGCAATCTATATAAATAAAAATGTAATGTTCGTTTGTTCCTAATAGCTAATCTCCGAAACTTATTCACTGATTGCTTTGAAATTTTCACACAACGCTGCATTTGAATACGGGCGTGTTTTTATATAATATACATTTCGAAATTCCCCCCTGGGGGCCAAAATTAGGGCTTACCATGAAGAACTCAGCTTCTATTATACTATTTTAGATGCAGTTTTTTGTGTTTTTGATTGTGTTTTAATAGGGTACATCAAGAGAACGTACACTAAGAAGGGATTTTTTGGGGAAATGTTATACGTTTATAATACATACATTTTGAGCCATGGCAACACATGGCCATGACTACTAGTTTTCAAATAAAAAATAACTTTTATTTGAAAAAACAAGTTCAGATATACATAAGTATTGAAATCTGTTAAAAATGGAACAACTTTAAATTTTAATTAGCTTTTAAAACAGACTAGCTTTTAAGATTTTTCAAAAATAGTCAAAGTTTATTAAATAATTATAAGCCATAACTTAATTTTTTTTCAAAATAAGATAATTACTATGAAAGTTTACAGAAATTGCTCACCAATGCAAGTTTCATCAAGCATTTTGTGCATCACAGGATGAATACTTCTTACTGCATTCTAATTAATAGTTTTATATTAAATAAAAATATTAGATAAACAAATTAGCTACAATTTTAAATTAAATTAAACTACCTGAACATCATAAAAGAGAATTTCAGGATGATATGCAATATTTTTCTTTTCAAAATATTCTGTTATGTTAGAAAGAAGGCATATTTCAGGTACTGAAAACAAATCATTCAATTGCTTCATTCTTGCTTCCTACAAAAAGTAAAAATTATTTTACCAAAACTGAACTAAAGAATTAAAGATATAGCAAATACTAAACTAGTATTCTTACATACAGTTCACTTTACATTATCAGTAAATTCCAGTTTCAGTTAATTAAAATAATAAATTTTGCCAGAATTTTTTTAGTACTAGTTAGCATGTAATAAATTTTAAAAATTATAAAAAAGAGTCTTAATATTAAAAGGAAGCTAATACATTGTCAATTTTTCTTTTTATTGCAAAACTTACTGCAATTTAGTCTATTACACTAAATATGGATCTAATCTTAAGTAACAAACTTTTATAAACAAATCCCTAGTTGTTTTTGAAGAGTTAAAATACAAGCAGGCCAAGCAATAAACTTTAGAGTGTCAAATAAAGTTTTGGCTGCCTGGAAGGTGTGCCTATTATGAAGATACCATTACGCAGCATCAAAAAGTAATAACCATATATATAAATAAAAGATAAAATATATGCATATCTGGTTAAATTCTTGTGTTATTATTTGTATTTTAACTAGCTGATTTTTTGTTTTTTACTTTTATTTATTTGTCTATTTACTTGGTTTGTAAGAGGTTTGTAATTATTGATACCAGACATGTACTGTACATTAGGTGTAAAAGAAAAAACTGGTCATGTATTTTTCCTTTAATTAATGAAAATTAATTTTATTTTTGCTATTCTTTAAAAATTAGTCCCTCATTTCGTAAAATATTTTTATAAAATTAGTTTGAAAAAAGAGATCTATTTACAAAAACTAAAATTTCAAATAAACAATTTAAAAAAATACTCAAGAGCCTTAATTTCTAAACAAAAAATTCTGGAAATAAATTCAAATACTGAGTTTGACTAATGAGTACTGAAAGCATAAGAATTTACCACTGAAAATTAAAAAAACAAAAAAAAAATTGATGTAGAAGACAAATATATATCTTTAACATTTAAAAACGTAACATAATAGGGATCAACAATCTGCATATTAAAAAATAATAAACTATAATATACTATGTTAAGTATGATCCATTTAAACACCATGTGCTTAGGCTGGCTGCATGGAAACTATATGACTATATAACTAACAAATATGTTGTATAATTGGGCAAAATTTTGTTGACTAAATGTTGTGCAATATGCCATGCCTGTATGTAATATTCAGTGATAATTACCAAAAAAAATTTTCTATAACTCCACTTAAAAATGGTCTCCTATAAAAGTTACAAAAATAAAAAAAAAAAACAAAAACATACCACCAAATTGTTAACCAAACTTTAGTTAAATATCTTGCAGTTTAAGCTTGAGAAATTGATCTATACACCTAAATTNTTACAAAAATAAAAAAAAAACAAAAACATATCACCAAATTGTTAACCAAACTTTAGTTAAATATCTTGAAGTTTAAGCTTGAGAAATTGATCTATACACCTAAATTGGAAGAATGACCCCCAGAACAGGATTTGACTAATCTTTTTTTTTTTTTCAAAAATTTTGTAAATTTTAAATTTCTAATTATTAAAATTTACTATTTAATTTAAAACCTAAACAACTAGTTTAGTATTCTAATTGCACAAAACTCAGTTTAAAGTTTAACTTACAAAACTATTAAATAATAATAGAAATTTACAACCTCAATCTCTTATTTGGTTATTTCATCTTATCTTGTATATTCCTAATGTAGATTAAAGTTTCAGATGATATTTTTTCAAATGACTACTTGTACCTGTAACATTTTTCAAATGAATTTTGTGACTTAATTCTTATAAACATAACTCTTTTCTAAAGTATTTAATGGATTTTATATTAACTTCTGCTCAATTTTCTCTATCAATTTTGACATCTTAAAAATCCCTTAAGAAAAAATGCAAAAAGGAACAATACAAAAACATTCATTTTATGAATGAATGAGAAAAAAAATCATTTGTAAAAAACCTAAGATCTAACATTTCAAAAGCAAAAGAAAAAAAGTCTTGAATAAAAATGCACATAAAAAGGTTAGCTTGGGTTGAAACAATTTTTCCTTTAAAAATATTAAAATGCACTAAATATTAAGGAGGAAAGTCTGAATCAAGTCTATTATAGGGAATGTTCTTTATTTCTATATGAAATAAATACACAAACTTAAAATGTCACTAATATAGTATAAAGGATGCAAGTTCAATTCTCATAGGCCACATTTTTATTTTAAAAGATCACTTTTCTCCATTTTGATCAAGCAATTTGTTCAAATCGTTCAAGACTGCATACTATAATAATCAAAAAACTTACTAAAATATAAACTTCGGCTGCAAGATAAGGTAAGAAAAATTTCTAACGTTTTCGGTCTTGTTAAAAGACCTTTCTCAAGAAAATTACAGCAAAATAAAATAACAAAATGTAAATTGAACGCTTAGTACAACTAACAAGTTTTTCGAATATCTGCATTCCGTCTTGTTCGTTGTACTAAGCGTTCGATTTACATTTTGTTATTTTATTTGCTGTAATTTTCTTGAGAAAGGTCTTTTAACAAGACCGAAAACGTTAGAAATTTTTCTTATAAATTTCGGCTGCAAGATAAGGTGTTTTAGTAAGTTTTTTGATATTATAGTATGTAGTCTCAAACGATTTGCAATTTGGCATCGCCGGCCAAAAAGTATAGAACCTTAGTACTAAAGAGCCGCAGAAATAATACGAAGCTAGAATTTTTGACGGAATGCAGATATTCGAAAAACTTGTTCGTTGTACTAAGCGTTCGATTTACATTTTGTTATTTTATTTGCTGTAATTTTCTTGAGGAAGGTCTTTTAACAAGACCAAAAACGTTAGAAATTTTTCTTATAAACTTCGGCTACAAGATAAGGTGTTTTAGTAAGTTTTTTGATAGTGATTTGTTCTACAGTAACTAAGATTTAAAAAATCTGTCAATAAAAATGAGATCAATAAATAGTATAAAAAAAATAGAGAATTTGAACAAGTTTTATTTTTTTACTAACTTTAGTATAAACTCACCTCACCACTTTGACTTCTTATTAAAGCTTGAGGAATATATATTCCTTTATAGATTTTAGTTATTTCTTCTTTTGATAGTGGGGTAAGGCCTCTGAAATAAAAAGCTGGATGTACTATAGATTACTATGGAATTTCGGGACTGAGTACAGATCTGAACTGAGGGGACTGAGATGAGTTCAACGGTACCTTACTTTTGGTTAAGAGACAAATACTTTTTTAATAACCAAATATCCTACTCAGCTTCTTAAATAATAAATTATTGAATACCTGATGCTGAGAAAAACCGTTTATTGAAGAAACATTAATGTTTGACCTAATATGATAGGCCATCTTCAGATGCAAGTATTCTCGAACGTATTTAACTTAATATTTAAATGTCAGAACGTTCGAATACTTTTACGTTTAAATCAAAATACTGGATAAAGTAACAAATAAATAATAAAACAAATATAGTAAATGACCTAATAAAAAATAACATATGTAAAATAAAATAAATACACAAAAATGCCACTAAGTGTAAGGTAAGGTGCAGGCTAAGAATTTTTGCATTTTAGTTTTCTTTTATGTAGAACTTCCATATGGAAGCTAGCCCCTATGCATCTCTGGTATTAATATAACCATCTTTTAAGCTACTTTTTATATATTTTGATTTTTTTTTCGTGCATTGCCAATGATGGAGAATGCATAGTCCTGAGGATAGTCGCTTCATTCCATTTAACCACCAGCTAAAGCACGTAAAAAAAAAAAAAAAATGGATAAATGACAATGATTTGGTCCTAACACGGGCTGACAAAAGTAAATACCTAGTAATCATGAAAAGGCAAACTTACAAGTCTTTAGAAGCAAGGCCGGATTTGAGGCGATTGGAGCGATGTGCTGCGGGACCCGATTGGCACATCAAAATTTATATATTTAAAAATAGTTTCAAATTACAGAATAGATTAAACAGTTTAGTGATTATGTCAATTAAGAGTCAAGAAGCAAGCCAGTTGGATTTTAATACTATTTTAGAAGATTTTACAGAACAAAAACTTTGGAACATAAAAACATCTCTTTATAGGTTTATATTCAATAAACATTTAGTTATATTCAGTCATCAACATATTAGATTTTTCATGGCAAAAATTTATGTAGTTATATTAATTTAAAAATATAGAAATACTAAAATATATCTACTGTATGTATGTTTATATTCAATAAAATGTAGTAGTTTTTATATTTGGTACAGGTTTTTTACTGTAGAAATTTGCCTACCTTACAGCATGACTTTTGATTTTTATAATTGGATTTTGTTTTAAATAAATGTTTAAAATCTATATTTCAATATGTAAATTAACTGTTAATTAATTTTGTTATTTAAAGTTTGAGGGGCCCACAAAAAAAAAAAATTCAATCAGGCCTCACACCTATTGCATCCGGCCCATTTAGAAGATTATATTAAGAGAACGGAATGTGAGCAGATCAATGAAAAAATCGTTATGAACGTAGACAGAGGGTTAAAAAACTCTAAAAAGCACCATTAAGCTCTGTATTAACTTTCCTTAAAGGATCTCATAACCCGAAGCCAGGGATGCAAAGGTTTGCATTTGCAAAAATATGGCACAAGCAGAGGACTCTGTGATTAAATGGAATGAAGCGACTCCTCAGGACTATGCATTCTCCATCATTGGCAATGCACAAATAAAAAATTGAAATATATAAAAGTAAATTAAAAGATGGTTGTATTAACGCAAGGGATGCAGAGGGACTAACTTCCATGCTCCTGCATGGAAGTTCTACATAAAAGAAAAACTAAAAATGCAAAAATTCTTAGCCCACACCTTCCCTTACACTTAGTGGCATTTTTGTGTATTTATTTTATTTTGCATATGATATTTTTATTAATTCATTTACTATATTTGTTTTATTATTTATTTGTTACTTTTACGTTTAAAATCAAAATACTGGATAAAGTATTCAAACGTTCTGACGTTTAAATATTAAGTTAAATACGTTTGAGAATACTTGCATCTGAAAATGGCCTATCATATTAGGTCAAAAACGTTAATGTTCCTTCAATAAACGGTTTCTCTCAGCATCAGGTGTTCAATAATTTATTACTTTTTAAATGCTATCATGCAGACGGCACCGTATTCGCTAGTGCTGCCCTCTTGCGGTAAAGTCTACAAACAAATTTTAAAAGAAATCACGTCAGTCGGGTGCATGATTAATGGTCACGACTGTTCAGGCTCTTGGCCACTCGGCGGCCGAGTGGCTAACGTCACTATTTATTGATTCACGTAGTTCTTGTACACACGTATCAATAACTAGCATGTATCAATTAACGGTCGTGACTGTTTGCGCTCCCGACTGCAAAGGAGCTACAGTGGAACCCCGGTTAACGAACTTAATCTGTTCCGCGACTTCGTTAACTGAAGCAATTTTTTTCATAGAAATTAATGCAAACACAATTTATCCGTTCTAGCCTCCGAAATTTTTGTTGATTAAGACAATCAACTATAGATCAATTTCTTGTTTCTTACCAAAACAGACCTCAACTCGAAGAATCTCCAAACGAAGTGCTACCAGTTATTTTTTTGGAGGGGGATTCCCCTCTAAACATTAAGCTCTATTTATCTCCACTCCTCTGTCATCAACTACAACAAAACATGTAAACTTTATTTAATAAAATTAGCATGTTTCTTGCTGTAATGATAGATACTACATTTTCCAAGAAAACCTACTGTATTTTACAAATAAAATCACAAAAATTTCGGAGGTTAGAACGGATAAATTGCGTTTGCATTGATTTCTATAGGAAAAATTTGCTTCGGTTAACGAACGAAGTTGCAGAATGGATTAAGTTCGTTAACCGGGGTTCCACTGTAGCTCCTTTGCTAATAACAGTGCTTCAAGGAATCCGCAAAAACTCTATTTTGTAGTTTAGTTCTCATTAAATTTAATTGCAAAAAATACATTCAACTGCTGCATTTGAATGAGGAAGCAATAAAAAAAATCTATTTACTGTCAAAGTAAAGTAAAAAAATATAGAATAAAAATGAATGTTTTGAAAGATACTATTGATAAATTGAAAGGAAAGGTATTAGGATTTCACGAATGGTACTAGAAAAATGGTGTTGGGTAACTTGGTACTTGGAGTAGCCAACTGCTGGAGCAGTTGGCTACTTTCGTACTACATTTTAAAAATTATTTGGCTACAACGGCAACAAACATCTGGCAATGCTGGTCACATCTATGGCAGGACATATAAAATGGAAGGACCAGAAGGTAGAAGGTACGTTTTTTTCTCCTGCGTCTTGTCTTGATTGGAACAGGAGGAAGTTGGTGTTACGGAAGAAAGGAAGTAAAGCAAGGGACCTGAGCCATTAAGAGGTCCAGTATAAAAACTGAGTGAATCGTAAGGAGAGAGAAATCGACAACATCGGCACGGAGACTATTAATCAGAAGTGTAGTGTTGATCTAAGAAAGGTTACAGTGGACATATTCGGTAGGTGCGATTATTTCCTGTCACTGTGTTTTGGACACATGTAAGGGAATCTGGGAAGTTAAGTAGTCCTATCCTAAGGAAGGAGGGAGGACCACATGGAGGTGATATTGGCCCAGCACATAAAGAAGAAACAACCCAAGTGAGGCAGCTATTGCCATCTATGTAAATAGATGGGGTATTAGTTCTAATTTAGTAATTTTTATTGTTGCGTTGGGAATTTAGTGTTGATTGTATCGGAAGTTGAATCCATTCGCGAGATTTCGTTGTATTGTGTTATAAAAGAGGTGGATTACTTAATGTGGCAGAGAGCAGGTGGGAAGATTTTTATCGCCTTAATCCTTTGCCCGATGAATTACCTTTAATTAAGTCAAAAATATGCGCATTTTGCAAGATACATTCATTGGAAAAACGAAAAATTGGCCTAATAACCAGTGGTGGAACAACAGTGCCCTTAGAACATAATACAGTTCGTTTTGTACATAATTTCAGTGCAGGTAATCGAGGTTCTGCATCAGCAAAATATTTTTTTAAATATGGTTATGCAATAATATTTCTCTATCGAAGAAAATCACTTCAACCATTTGCTCGGCATTTTCCAGCCAATTCAATGTTAGAAATTCGTGAAGTTGAAGATGAAAAACTTTTGTATTGAAGTAATTCCTGAAAAAGTTCAAGAATTATTGCCAGTTTTACAAAATTATCATCATTCAACTATTCATTCTTCAAAGCTTTTAATGATTACATTCACTACTCTCTCTGAATATTTGCATATTTTAAAAATTGCTGCAGAAAGTTTACAGGAACTGGAAAAAAATGCTCTATTATATTTAGCTGCTGCAGTTTCAGATTTTTATATTCCACCTCCTAATATGGTAAGTTAAGTTTACAGAATTGAATTTTTTGAGTATTGTTTAATGACTCTCTTTTGTTAAAAAGATTTTATAATATGAAAGTCATCATTAAACTTATATATATATATAAAGAAATAAACATTGAAAAAAGTCATACAGTCACATATAGCCAATCAGAATTAGAGTTTCAACTGTAACACATGATCTGTATTCTGCCAATTAAACAAGTCTTAATAATAGAGAGGTTGTGGCCAACATTTTCATCGTGAAAACATGAACATTGGATGTTCAGTGCTGCCTTCCTGTAAGCCTAGAAGTTTGACAACGGCATTTGGAACGTGTAGCATGATTCCATCGATGTTCCAAATGCTATTGTCAAACTTCTATGCTTACAAAAAGACAGCAATGAACATTCGACATTCATATTTTCACAATGAAAACATCAGTCACAACCTCTATATTAGAGTCTAGTAAACCTGNTATTAGTAACAAAGGATGACCATTCTATCATTGAATTAGAACAAGAAAAAATAGAAAATGGTTGCGAAATAGAAGAAAAACTGGTATCAGATATTGTTAGTCGACATAATTCGTATTTAGCTCAATAATTAAGTTTATAACTAATCTTTGAGATTTGTAATTTATATCTTAATTTTTATAGTTATAATTGCAACAATATAGTGCCTTGCAAATTGTAATAAGTGAATTAAAGTTTTATGACCAGCTAACAATTGTAATTGGACCTCAATAATA